CACTGGGTGTTATGCACAAACAACGAATCATGGAACACTACATCTAAAACTAATGATGTAATGTAGGGGATTAACATAAGAATAAAAAAAAATTAAAAAAAAAAAGATTCTACCCAATTTGCACATCCAGTTGGCATAAATTATCAGTGAGTGACTTTGGCTTTGGTTAACAAAATTTAAATAAATTTGTTTTAAAGTGCTGCAATCACTTCACTCAAACCCATTAGTTGTGAATAGAGTATGTATGCTCTTTAGTGTAAATCAAGTCTAATTTCTGTAACTACAAAATAAGTATGTGAATTAATTTCCATTAAAAAAAAATAGTCCTATCCCTTGATGCCAAGGAGGCAGAACAGGAGAATAGGGCACTGGATTTGGAGCTGGTATGCCTGAGTTTTAGTCTCTATTGTCACAGACTGTGAGCTTCCCAATTTTAATAATTAATATTCTTGTACCCAGTTCCCTAACCTCCAAAACAAGCATGTTAATTTAGTAAGATGACCTTTTCTGAAACCTACCACTGTCTCTGGCACACCATGCATCTTCACGGCTAGATGGTTAGCCTTCATGATGATACAGTTGAGTCAAGTAACATCAATCTCCAATACTAAGAAAATTTAAGATAGAATATCTTGCTACATCAGCCCCTGAACATCACTTTCAAAATATTTCTCACACTGGAGACAAAAACATTCCTAACGCAAGTTAGAAGTTTGGAAGCCTTTTCTTAGTTCAGCTAGAAAACTTTCATAGCTAAAGAATGCTTTTATTCTAAAGCTCAAGGTAAGCAGATTTTGAGAGCAGAGCATCGTTCATGAATACGTATGAGGCTGAATTTAGGTTTTTTGTTTGTGGAGGCAGTTTGACGGGGTCATTAATGTATTTGGGAAGAGGCAGGAGAGAAAATGTCCTATGTATGAGAACAAGATGTAGGGAATGAGCTTCTCAAGAAGAGGGGGAAAAACACTGGAGAGACATGTATTTTAGTAATTTCATCAATTCTTAATCAACATGACAAAGATACAGGTGATAGAGCCATTCCTCTACAGAGATCAGATGCCCAGACCCAGGCAGTTAGCTACCTCGGAAGGTTTTGTTGTTTTTGTTCGTTTGTTTGTTTGTTTTGGGGGGCGGGGTTTGCTTCATGCTGTCTTCTCTCCCTCCCTTCCTCTTTTAAATATTGTGCTCTGACTTATGGCAAGGTTTGGTGAGTGACACATGGCAGGAAGCACTTTTATTTGAAACAGCTCTCCCAGGATAACCAGGCTTTCCTCCATTTACATGTATAAAAGTCTAAAACTATCTTGGCATCAACCAAATTTTATCATCCTTTTATATAGCTGTGTCAACCTTGGCAGCATTTAAAAGCAAGGAAACTGAAATGGTTTCTTCAGGATGCAAGCATGCTGAGGCCTCATATACATGCGTTATAGCTGGTTTCCATAAGACACCAGACAGGAGCCAGCTGCCAACTGAAAAGATCAAATCAGTGAATCAGAGTACCCAATGGATTATCTTAATTAACTACTTCGTAATCAGTATGGTTTGTTTATGTAAATGCATTCACTCAACAAATGCATTCATGCTATCAACAGGCTCTGTCCTAGCTGTTTGAAATGTATCAGTGTGGTAAGCACTCATTTTTTTCATGACTAGGTCCTTATGGAGTGTATTAGCCTTCTAATGAGAAAAGTTTAAAAATCTGTGGTAGAAAGAAAGGCTTTCAAAATGCAACCAACATTTGAATGCCAGCTATTCTGTATTAGCTAGTTAATCTTTAGAGTGATTTAATCTCTCTGGGCCTTTTTTCCATATCAGCCTTAAGGCTTAAGGAAGGTGTGTGCCACGTAGATGCTTGGTAAATACCCTCCCCCTCCCCCACCACTGAGAGTTGTGCTTTCCGAAACTCAAGAATCCTCTTCAAGCTTGTGTCCTGATAAGTCCTTTCTCCTGCTTCCTTCAGGTGGTATACCAGTTAGCCCCGCTCAGGCAGGACCATGGAACCCAACATCTTTAGTCTTCAATCAGTCCACTTCAGTGGTCCCAGGAGCCATGATGAGTAGTCAGCCTTCAGGATTCGGTCAGCCAGTAGTTTTTACCACAAGCCCAGCTGTTCCAGGTTGGAACCAGCCTTCATCCTTTGCAGTCTCAACTTCCCCTCCAGCCCCTGTTGTTTGGGGCCCATCAGCATCTGTGGCACCCAATACTTGGTCCTCAACAAGCCCTTTAGGGAACCCTTTCCAGAGCAATATTTTTCCAGCTTCTTCTGTGTCTACCCAGTCCCCTTCTATGCTCTCCTCTCTTCTGGTCGCTCCTCCTCAACCACCTCCCAGAACTGGCCCTCCGAAGGACATCTCCAGTGATGCCTTCACTGCCTTGGACCCACTTGGGGATAAAGAAGTCAAAGAAGTGAAAGAAATGTTTAAGGACTTCCAGCTGCGGCAGCCACCTGCTGTGCCTGCAAGGAAGGGAGAACAGACTTCCTCTGGGACTTCAAGTGCCTTCTCCAGTTATTTCAACAGCAAAGTTGGCATTCCTCAGGAGAATGCAGACCATGATGACTTTGATGCTAATCAACTGTTGAAAAAGATCAATGGTAAGCTACCCACTTCTCTGTCTACCATACCGACGAGTATTTCCCCTGTCGTATGGGCCCACAGAGTCCTTAGAAGAACCCTCTCCCACCCACCAATGGCCTAACTCTTGCTCTCTTTGGTAAGCGGTGGTTATGGAGACAACTTGACTGGTTACCTTATGGAGCAAACGATTTACCTTAGCTGTTTCTAAGGGCTGGCCCAATGCTGCCCTCTTGTGACAATTGCTAAAAGGGCTGCCAAGAGCTATTGACATTCAGTGGGTTGTGGCATGTGGAAGGCTATGTAACAGAGCCTCACCCACACTCCACTGCCTTAGTAAGGGAATTCTGAATGTCTTCCACTTCAGGTATATAGGTACAGCCTCCTCGTCTGATGAATTTGCCTGTAGTAATAACCGAGAGTCCTAGTATTTGGTGGTGATTCTTGTTCCATGATGTAAATTCCAAAAGTATGGAACTGAATTTCTGAGATAAGCTTGATCATGGGACTTTTGCCTATATTTGGGAAAAATTTGTCTGCTGACTTCTTGGTGTTTTTTGCCTTCTAGAACCACCAAAGCCAGCTCCCAGACAAGGTTCCCTGCCAGTTACCAAATCTGCAGACAACGCATTTGAGAACCCTTTCTCTAAAGATTCTTTCAGTTCATCACAAGCCTCTGTAAGTATCAACTATTAGAAGCTGTTGCTCCAAAGTACATGCCACATAGAGCTAGCTGAAGACCCGTGTCTTGAATTAATCTTGTTTGTATAGCTCTATGTGGCATTTGGTGCTAAAGGATGTTTAAATAAGATTTATCATTGAGAACCATCACAATGAAAACATCAACTCAGACTGGGGAGAGATTATTTTTGCAGGGGCTACTATCCTGAGCTTGAGAAATGAATATCATATAGGAAAAGTCTTTTGTATCTCACTTTGCCTGGCTCACAAAAGCGTTTTGGGAGAAAATTGAGCCAAAATAATAGTACCTTTAAAAATCTTTCAAGGATTTAGTTTCCTGATTTCCTGCCTTCGATCGTTTAGCTCATAAAAACAGTACCTTTCATTTTGGAGAGGCAAACTTTATTCATGTGAGCCCTGATTTTGATGTAAATAATAAATATGCATCACAAATTATAAGCAGGCAAACACAAATCATTGTAGACCCATATAATATCTGATTTGTCTGTGACCTAAGTGATTTTTAAAGGAATTTGAGAAGTCTTAATTATGGAATTTTTTTTTCTTCATAACTGTAATTATACGTATTGACTGGATGGTTTTATCTTCATAGATGGCTTCTCAACCCACATCTTCTGATGTATATAGGGATCCTTTTGGAAATCCTTTTGCCTAACTTCTGTAAGTAGAAGATCCTATTAAGCTTAGGTTTGGTAAGAAAGCATGACACAGGGGATGAGGGTGAAATTTTAATTTTAGAACTGGTATAAGGTTAAATCTCTGTAACTCAGAAGTAATAGACATGGAAATCTATGCTTAACTAATTCAGTAATGACTCAGCTGAGCATTTAAGAATAGAATTCTTATACACGCTACAAAATAGTAATATACCCATGAGGATATGGATTTCTATCATAGCCTATGGTTTTGATATTTCAAAATAACATTTTTGCATAACAATAAAACTTATATAACACACAATAGGTTTCTAGTTGTTTTGTTTTGTTTTTTTACCTTCATACTGAAGTTGACTGCAAAGCATCCTAGTAGTTACTTGGTTTCCTATAGAAGGTTCGAAAACTGAAGACCTTTTGAAGCTATAGAACAGATCAGCTGAACAGATGCTGCCTCCCAAATCAATTTATTTCTCTGTGAGTGGTCTCAAAGTTAGTCTAAAATAGTCTGAGGGTATTAAATCCAAAAGTGCTGATAGCTGCCCATATCCCCTTCAAAAGCAAAACATGGGCAGATGAGGCAGCAGGTTGATCTCACTAGTGTATTTTATCCTAGGTAGGTTGTTAGGTGTAACTGCCTTAGACTGAGACCCTGGGAGGGCTCAGCGGGACCCTTTCTTTTTCAACAGTGAGTAGAAGCAACTTTGTCTGATTTCAGAAGATTGAAATTAGTGGAGGACAGAAGCCTTGGCTGCATTTTAGAGGAGGAAGGGCATAGCTGGTAGGGGAGAACAATAAAAAGAATGAAAGGAACCAAACCCATTATTTTCAGTCTTGCCCCATCCAGGTGGGACTCCTACTAAACTCTGTCTTGACCCACCTAGAATTTAATTATTTTAAATAGATTAATATCTGAAGTCTGACATGAACAGTAAGACTGACTTTATTTGCAATTTGGACTGTTGTCCCTCACTTGACTTCTAGAATTACAGTGTTTCTTAAAGTGCTTTTCTGTAAAGTCTGCTTCAGAGAACAGGCTGAGATTATTGAAAAGGCAAGTTCTCGGGCCCGACTCTAGCCCTAAGAAGTCCCCCTCTGGTGCTGAGGAAAAGCTCCAGGTTACAAGCAGCCTGGCGATTTCTAACGCTGATAGAGCAGTGTAATATACTGAAGGTCTAGGAGTCTTAACAGAGACTCATACTCGCCCTTGTCTCCAAGGGAGGCAAACATGGACAAATAGAAAGGAATAAACTGCATCCAGAGTCTTGGAGGATTGTTTGCACTCAACTGAATTGACAAGAGGTCTCCTTGGAGGCCCTTTCTTTCTTAGGTCATGAAGGTAGGATTATTTTGGTGAACTTGCTAAACTTACAGATTGGGGTTGGAGGTGGGGGAGCATGATCATGAGAGAAAATAGCTAACATTGAACATTTGTGTTAATCACTTTATTTCAGGTTCTGTACTTATCTTATTTAGGCCTCTCACATCAGCCCTAGGAGACACTATTATTGAGGTTTTAAATGATGACTTGATATTTAATACACTGATATTTAACCCAAAAATTCTAACCATGGGTTTTGTTTTGTTTTTTTCTCTACACTTCTCTAGGAACTTGATATGCTGACTATCCAGAGGAACAAAAAGGTTGGCCTTAGTTGTCAAGGACAAAGTTAATAGTCAGACACGTCCTGACCTCTGCTCTCATTCCAGCTTTGACATATTATCTGTTACCTTATTGCTTGCTGCCTCTTCCACTTGTAAAATGCCTTTCACTTTTCTGTTTAGATTAAAGCTAAACTGAATTTATGGCTTTAAATAAATTAAGAATCTAAATTCTCTAGCTTAAATGTAAATAAAGTAGTTTCCCTACTTGAACCATTGCCTAGTGTGTTCTAGAACCTTCTAGAACACTACCATGTACCCTCTGCTTGAGAGATGCAGCCACCACAACTCCTCAGATGACACTGTTTTGAATAAATTTTAAAATCCTTACTGTTCAGAGTTGTTTGGGGCTTCTATTTTATAGCACAAAACCTAAAGGTTATAGTATAACAAGGCACCTTCTTAAATCTTGCTTCATATCAACATTTATAGAGAATTTTTAAAGTAAAATTGAAGCAAGTCCAACTTCTCCCTAGACAACTGGGAATCTGATACACTTAAGGACCTTTTTAAAAATATAATTTCTCTTTCTGAAGATTATTTTCTCTCAAGGGCAAGATTGTTGTTGTTGTTTTTTTTCCAATCTCTTGCTAGATAGTGCAAATGAGGGAAAAACATTATTTGTCTCTCCTCTCCTCTTCCCTCTGATTCTTTTTTTCAGTCAGTTTTGCTCCCAGGTTCATATAACATTACTTCCCTTCCACAAGCAACAGAGTTTTATGGGGCAAAAAAAAAAAAAATCTAAGGATTCATGGATCTGAAACATCTCTGCCTTCTCAGTAATCGCTAAATCCCGTAACGAATCGCAAATGGACACAACCTTTATCCTTTCTATGGAATAGGAGGCCATCCTCTTGAGCTGAAGTTCCAGAAGAGCAGTTCATGTTGAAGAAGATGAAAGAAAAACTGAAGAAAAACTGAACTCAACTCAGCAATGAAGGACTGTATTCTGAAGAGCCAACACATCAGAAAGTTCAATGTGATTGTGCCAAATATATTAGGTGCTTATATGGGGTCATACTAGACCTTTATCAAGTAACTGGAAAACTTGCTTGAAGCCACAATCTCATAGTTAGTTGGAAGATAAATGGTGAGGGGGTGGGAGGAGAGAAGCTGTAGAACAAGTATTTGGTGTTATCATTGAAAAATCTAATGTCTGCAGTATTTTTCTCCTCATAACCTTGGAAACTCTCCCAGTTCATTTCCAGTCATATTGTTAGCACAGTTCTGAAGGATTTGTTCTTGCCAAAATGAGTTTCATTTTGTTATGTTTATGTTGGGTTTTTAAATGTTGTCTCTTGACCCTTAGTGCTCAGGTTCTTGTGGGTGTTAATCAACCATACAACGTTACCTTTAGGTAGAAGAGGAGGATGACTGCTCAGGATCTAAACAAGATGGTGGCCTCACGAACCTTTATTGATTAGTCCCACGTAGTCCAAGCTAAAGTCTTGTGGTTTTATGTTTAATGGTAATAGCTGATCATGTATGGCATGATTTTCCATCTGGCTTCCTACTCAGTCATTATAAACACAGACTTAAAAATAGTATTTTATATGTCCCAATACCTGAATGTGCTCAACTGGAGGCAATTATTTCTAGATAGTTGAAATTTTGAAAGTAGACAAATTTTGAAAAGGATGATCAGCCACACAACTGTTTTGTACATACTTATTTTCTTGTGCACTTTTCTGTATGCAAATAAAGCTATAAATTTACTCATTTCAATAAACTGGAATGGCAGAATCTCATGTGTTAGCATCAGTTTATTCTTATAGTTGGCCCCCACTTTGAGATTATGTGTCACAGTCAAGGTATAAATTATATCAGTCCAAGGTGAGCAAATATTAGTACATTCTGGATTGTCACAAAGATGAAGAGAAAATGGAAATCTGTGAAATAAGACCATGAGTAAACTATTGTCTGATATCTTTTAATGCCTTATTTTCCTCTCCCTGACCTACACATATTCCCTGCCTGGGAGTTTAATGGGAGTGCAGGTGGATAAGACCTGTATCAGAACAACCTCTACTGACATCTAGTATAAAAATCATTTATTAATGAACTCTTGGTTCACAACTTCTACCCGTTGCCTCTCCTTGTTCTTGATTCAACCATGTTTGACGTCACCAAGACACAACTGTGTGGACTGATCCAGGCTGGTGTAGGCCACTCGGGAGAACTTCTGTGTGAGGTGGGCAGGCCCAGGATCAGACATCTTTAGCACGAGGACACTCTTAAATACTCTCCCCTCGTATAAAAGTTCAAGGCTCTCATTTTTTTCAAAAAGACCTAGATCTCCTGGGGGGATGACCCTGAGGCAGGCCTTGCTTCAGTACAAAAGTCTTGATCTTAAACTTTTCTAAGGATTAGGACAAACTTGGGAGCAGGTGAGTGTCATTGACGGGTATTTATGATTATAGGTCATTCATTATTACTGCCTTACCTTTCCCCTTAATTGAAACAGTTGGTCCCTTTTTGCCAACAATGAGCAGAATATAGAAAAACAGACTCCACACAAAGGCAGCTTCCAGTAAGCCACAGATGTGCTGGAGAAGGCTGCTGATAAGAACATGTTGCACAAATTATCTGGCTTATCCAGATGCTCTGAAGTGTGTCTAACCCACTGAGCCTGTATGCTGTTTCCATGTGGCTTAATCTGTAAGATCTTGCCAGAGGTTAACCCTTGCTCATATGTACAAGGGGAGGACATTCATTTCAGTGCAGTAGGAACTACTGTTGGCCAAGCAGGGAGAGGTGCTTCCAGAAGTGTCTCTGCAAAGTAGAAGCAGACCTCTTCTTTATAAGTCTATTTAGTAAGAATACTAGTCACACCCGTATGTTGGAAGTTCAGCTTTTATGGTAACCCTATTATACCTGCAGGCGGGTTTCTTTGGGGCATCAAATAGATCTAAGCTAAAAGTTGAATTTGAAGAGCCACCATGCCCCCAAATTCCTCACATAAAGGCAATACAAAGGGAGAAGTTATTGATTTTCTCAAGATAATCTTGCATCTATGAAGCGCTTTCCCATTTACACAACATAACTTCATTCTATAGATACTATAATCCTGTGGGGTGGGATCTGTCGCTGTTCCATCTCATCTGAGAATGGCATCATGCTTTAAAATCCCTCCAACTCTTCAGTGATTTCTGTGGTATTTTATTGTAAAACTGCATTGCGGTAGGGATATCCTTTCAGCCCGTGATTTCAAACTGCTCCACCAAAATGTTAACCATGGAGTCTAGAGATAGCCAAACACAGCAAATTCTGTGTCTTTCCTGTGCTGAAAGCAGGGAGGGGAAAGAACAGAGGATGGAGCTAACTCAGAAGTTTGGTTGACCTGCAATAAACTGATGAGTGAGGACTCTGACCCATGTTCCCGGAATAGGTTCAATACAAAGTCTTCTAGTAAAAGACAGGAGCTCCCTAAAAGTCCCTGGTAAATATTTAAGCTATTACCAGTGGAGGAAATTGCTAAATAGTAAAACATCTAATTCTTGCTGGAAAATGTTGTTTTAACTAACTTTCTTCTATTAAAAATAACTAAGACCCAGTTCTAAATTAATATGTCAAACTTAGACACATACAAGGCTGGGTAACGGCAGCCTTGTTAACATGCCCTAATTACAGCCAGGCTAATGGCCGAGGGCCAGCCATGTGTCATCTCACCTAATGAGGGCCTGAGCCCCTTGTTTTCCCTTGCTTTTCTGGAATTATGTACTTAATTACTAAACCTCTATTGTGTGTTGAAATCATGTGAGTGCCAGGCTCCTAGGAGATGACAGTGTGGGCTACTCGGTGGCAAAGAAACTGGGTTTCTGTCTTGACCAAAGTTGAGGTAGTTATAAAAGAAGGAAAAACACCTGACTCTGAAAGTCTCCATGACTAAGTTTTCTTCTGATGTTACTTATGGAGTTTTCTGTCCATTCTCTTTTCATTTGGTTAACTTCAATCACTATTATTTTACCTTAATTGTAAGAAAGTGAAATTATTGCCATTATAAAAGGTACATGATGACCTGACTGGGCTAAGGCTGAGCTGTGGATGGTTCTGGGATGTGTCTGAAGCTACTTCTACCAGATGCCTACCAACACTGATTGATCATCACAGAGCCTTTTGTGTGGGGGCCACTAAGAGGAGTGTTGGAACACAGGAGCTAATGGAGAGGGAGGGGAGGGGAACGGAAAGCTGATATGATGTTTGCCTCCCCACCTTCCTCACTAGCCTGAGAGACTGGCCTAGAGATTGATGATGGAAATGACAGAGCTAGAAGCAGGAGGAATTGTCCTTTTTTTGATGAAAAACCCTGGGAACAGGCTGGCACGTTATAGCCCACATGTCCACTGGTAATGAATGGACTACATCAATGGAAAGGCTCACAGTGTTTAAAAATAGTAGCGGGTTATTTTTCTCACATAAAAAGTCCAGATTGATGGCTGCTGGTATTGGCTGAGTAGCTCAACGAGGCCCTCAAGGACGTAGACTCTATTTTAGCTTTTCACCCCAACTTTTGTAGCCTTTGGCACCCTATTCTCATGTTTATTGCCTAATGGTCACAAGATGGCTGCACAGCCCCAAATATGATGTTAGTGTTCAAGGAGGGCAGCATGGGAAAGAGCAGCTCAATCAAGGCCTTCTCCTTGCACCAGGCATTTCAGTTTTCTCCAAGGCTTCCCAATTACTTCACTATGTCTCATTGGCCAGAATTTGGTCACATGGCCACTGCTCAGTGCAAAAGAGGACGGGAAATCAAGCTTTTAGCTTTGTCAACCTCTATAGTGAAAGTAGTTAAGGAAGAGACATGGTTGGCTAAATAATTTCTGGGGCCTAGGGCAAAATAAAAATAGAGGATCCATTATTCATAAACCAGGGGGTAAAGTGCCATTAAAGACATTGATGCGCGAACATATCCTTTCTTCTGCAAACTTTTTCTTATTATGACATATTTTATTTGCTATTTAATGTTGTTCTAAGTAAAAAAGAAATGAAATTTTAAAGTTTTCGTGTGAATTTTATTGCTAATCTTTAGCTGGTAAGTGGAATCACTGAAATTATACAACTTGTATTTCATAACTCATACATGCATATATATTTAACATATGTATTTCATTCCTACAAGAACAGTAGAAACACAGTACAAAACTAACTCAACTGTTTTTAATTCACTTCTTGATACATGAATATTCTACCAGTACATTCTACCTTTAGTTCACTGATGAGTACAGAAAAATGGTGGAAAGAAGAAATATGGGTGGCTCTATATTTTTGTTTCCTTTTATATTATTATTTTCAGCATAAGTAGATGGCTAATGCAGAGAAGTAATACACTAGTAAGAAAGATCTGATAGTGTTTCTTGGTCATTTGTGTTTCTTCTTGTACTAGAAGTCAGCTCTGGTTCAAATGGAGAGTGTGACCTCTCAGGGCTGTCACTTACACAGTGCTAGGCATAATACATCAACCGTATACTCACTTTTGCTTTGACTCATTGAACTCCCACACATCATGGGTCCACCTGAATTCCACGTTCATGGGGCAACATATGCATTCTGTGCAAATGTGGTAGGTAGCATGGAGGAAGGGACACAGTGTACATTTCCTCTGCTCATGTGCGTGTTCCATTTTCCCATCAAACTTGCTTTCAAAACAAAATCCAAACACAAAATTAAGAACTTCAAGGTGGTACTAATAGAGCATGAAACCAATCGTGGGGCCTTTCCGAGGGCTTGAGCCCTGTCCAACTCACAGGTCGCATGCCCTAGAAGCCTGCCTTGGCAAGAGGGCCTTGGAAACAGGCGATGGATAAGCCAATATATTTCCCAAATGCCTGGGTGATAGTTTAACCCTAAGCTGGCCTGCCTCCAAGTGCAAAGCACAGCAGTCTTTGATGACATAGGACCCTCAGGGCAGAAGAGAAGCCCACACATGGAAAGCATAGTCAGCAAAGCCAAAGTCAAGGTACCTCAACTAGAAGGTGTAAGCTCAAGAATGCAGAGGACTAGTTTCTGTGTGTTAGTATCATGAGGACTATAAAAGTTAGAAGGGGGTGGTGGGTTAACTAAAAGCTCCGCCCAGGAGGCTTTAATGTTGTCATAACGTAATTTGACGTCAAAGTGATGCACCATCTCAGTTGGAAGGATAGAGGAGGGAGGACTATAGAACTCCTGAGCTCTTACTTGCTGATGTGCTTCGAAATTCTTCATTTCACTTCACTGCAAGCACAATTGCCAAATCTGGAAAGCCAGACTGGATTCAGGGATGGTCCACAGAAGTCACTGAATAATATTAGCAAACACCTACCCAGCATTTGCCAACCACAGACACTATTCTGAGTGTGTTACAATAAACAATTTAATTTCCATGTCAGTTCTACGAGGTGGGCTGCTACTACCACCACCATTTTATAGAGGAGGACACTGAGGAACTTCCCAAAGTCGGAGCTAGTAAGTGGCTGACATGTCCGGTGTCCTTGCACTTAGCCTCAAATTCACCACTTCAGCACTCCACTGCTTCCAAAAACTGGCCCCAGTGCCTTTATGCTGGCCTATCTTCCACCCACCAAGATTTTCTTCTCTTCATAGTACTGTTCTCCTCTTCTACTTCCTATAACCAATATGCCTATCATGACATGCTTATGCTTATGTTTAATTAGGCACGTTGATCCCCCTTTGGGCTTTTCAGGGCACATTTTCAGAATGAATTAAGTGTCACTTAAGAATTTGAATTATCTAGTTGCTATAAATGC